ATGTTGCATCAGCTGCTGTCCATATACTTTTGGTCGTAAAAGTGCATATTTATTGTTAACATCAGTTTCTAAATCATAAACCCCTATAGGAAAATGGTGTTTGACAGAGATAAAATAGCAAATGGAATTTGAACTGGCTCGTAAACCTGCCCAAACTATGAACATTTGAAGAGCTGTAGCAATCTGCTTTCTTCAATGGAATACCAAATCGTTGGTAAGGGATTTTCAAAGGACCCTTCTTATTTTCAGAATATGATATTTGTATTGTTTGCTTCACTTTGATTCATTATTCATTCATATTCAGACACTTAAATCCAGGTAAATCTGAACAGAATTATTAAAACGGCATATAGATATTGTATAACACAAATAAGTTTTGCAAATTGTTGTATATGCAGAGATTATTTTGACCGTATATTATTTCCTATGTTAAAGGGTTAATAATAATAATAAAAAATAATAATAATACATATTAAATATTTCCCCTTTAACAAACAATACAAATATTCTGAAAATAAGAGGGGTACTTTGAAAATCCCTTACCAAAGATTTGGTATTTCATTGAGGAAAGCAGATTGTCACAGATCTTCATATATATACACAGAAAGCTGAATATATATGTCTGAATACAATGAATTTGTTCTCTTTTTAGAAACTATGAAGAACCATTTTTCCTTGAAACCTCTAGTAGCTGTAGAGGTTGCCATGATTTTATTGATTGCTCTGCCCTTTTGCAATAGTGGAAATATTCTAGTAATCCCTGTGGATGGATCCCATTGGGTAAATATGAAAGTGCTCATGGAGGAACTGCATTTGAAAGGACACATCATGACTGTGATTCGAGGGTCCAATACCATGTACATTGCTGAAAAGTCTCCTCTTTACACGACAATCACAATCCCTGTAAAGGGAAATATAACAAAGGACTTCTTCCACAAGTTTTTAAAGAAAATGTTGGAAGTGCAACGAGGTGACAAATTCCTGATAAAATTCCTCAAATTGCAGAGGGATTTCTCATCTATGATGTCTGAAGTTCACCATTTTTCAAGCGAGATAGTTTCTAATATATTGGAAAATACAGAACAGGTGAAACGGCTTCAGGAAGCCCATTATGATCTAGTGCTCACTGACCCTGTCATACCAGGAGGGGTTGTGCTGGCTCATTACCTTAAACTGCCACTGGTGCTGAACGTACGCTGGATCCCCAGTGGGGAGGGGCATTCTGCTTTGGCGCCTACACCCCTGTCTTACATCCCATCTCCAGGCTCTGGGTTCTCAGACAGAATGAGTTTCACTGAAAGGGTTATAAACATCCTTTACTATGGCATCATCCTCTTCCAACAACGCTTTATGATTGGACCTCATTACCAAGCTCTCTGTGACAGGTACTTCGAGTCAAGTTGTGATATTGAGACCCTTATTCAGTCAGCGGATATATGGCTCATGAGAGCTGACTTTGTCTTTGAATTTCCACGCCCCACCATGCCAAATGTTGTCTACATGGGTGGGTTCCAGTGTAAGCCTCCCAAAGCCCTTCCTGAAGATTTGGAAGAGTTTGTCCAGAGCTCTGGAGAACATGGTATCATTCTAATGTCTTTGGGAAGCATGGTTGACAGTCTCCCGAGTGATATATGTGATGAAATTGCATTTGTCTTTGCAACATTACCTCAGAAGGT